TTTATGCGTTTCAGGATAAACTGCTTATCCTGAAACGCGGTCGCGGACTGGCCACGAGGGTAGACCCACGATCTGCATTTAGTGTAAAAATCCAAATGCTGTTTCGGATAAGCCGATGAAACGCGCGAACCAAATAGTATGACGACGTTTTGAAAACGTTGCCTGCACTTATAAGTTGTCCCAAACGGATCCTAAATTTTATCAGAAATATCGAATGAATATATATATATATATATATATATATTATAGTATAGTATTATATATTAAGGATAATTACATATAGAGCATAAGAAACACTATTATTTATAAATTAAACACTAACAGGCCGGCGCATAGGAGTGTAAATGAGCCGAATACGAGCCAACATGGGCTTAGCTTGTGTTTGGCTAGTTTATATTTCGAGCTCAAAAAGTGTGTTCGTGTTCTGGTCGTTTGCTTAGCTAGCCCGTTCACGAACAAAGAATCATTTTGACAACCTTAATTACTTAGCCATAAGATGTTATGGTTTGGGGCAAGATTTAAAATATTATTTGAATCCAATGTAATAAAGTTTATTCTATTTTCTTAATTAATACTTTTAATTGATTATAGATTTTTGTAGCCTTACAGTCAATTAAACTTTTTAAAAATATTACTGATCAGAGACACACACACTGATTAGTAGTATTTCGAGCTAAAATGAGTCGAACATAAATATTTATTTGTGTTGTTCGTGTTCAGCTCGTTAACTTAGCAAAGGAGCCAAGCACGAGCATAATAACGAACCAAACACGAGCCATTTTGACAGCCCTACCTGCATATTATTCAACATATAAATATTATAATATGCAATCCTATTGTAAAAATGATATGCCGTTGGTACCCTGTACCTAATATTTTTACCTACCAAACAGCTCGATAGGCTGGCTAAACTGGGTTTAAATTCCCGCGGAGTCTCCAAAGTTCCAAAGAAGATCAGAAAAGAGCGGCTTCGGAGAATCAAGCGAGGGATTTGATATGCAACACAGCAACTCCAATGCCCGATGTTCTTCCCCCTCTCTTCAGTCTCTCTGACTGTCCGCCTTTCTGAGTTCTCCGCGAGATTCTGCACTCCGATCCGATCTCTTTTAGATTGGGATGGCCGCAGCAACTGGGATCGTCTTCCCGCCGGCTCCGTTTTTCCGGCGAATACATACCACTCGTTTCAGAAGGACGGAGAGAAATGTGCGGCTGCTCGAGCTCCGATGCGGCGCTGCTGTCGGCGGTGGTTTAGATGACCACGTCGTCGGAGCAACATCTTCGTCGAAGCGTCGGATACAAAGGTATGTTTTTTTCTTCTTTGGGGATAATTGAGAGCCTTAGCTCAAATAATATTATTTAAGAAGAATGGAGAAGATACGTTGGTTTGCCCTCGGCATCAAAAGGAGCTACGAAAGTTCTGAAACAAGTATAATTGATAAATGACAGTATCGGAACAAATAACGTCGCGATTTTTTATTAAATAGTAGCACAGCGATGAAGAAAGGATTTCAGTTTGATTCCATTGTATTGGATGGTGATAGTTTCATTGAATAAAAGAAAGTGACGTGCATCCAGGAAACCCTATTGCAAGCCGCCAGTCAACAGCTCTTCATTATCCAAAATTTGCCAATGGAGCTGCAATTTAGAGGAGAGGATATGACATTATGAATAGATCGTCCATAATCCTAATCATCTCCAAGCAATAATATACTAAAACTACAAGAGAAAAGTTGACCGAGATATTGGCTTTGTTGTTTATGCTGTTCTTTTGGAGAGAATATGTGGAATCGGAACTAAAGCTGTTGTTGACTATGACATAAAGAAAACGACCTGGCTGCTAACAAAGATTGTTTTTGGTCAAGATAGTGATTTGTAGTGGATATATTATCTATTGTTGTCGCTTTTGATTGTTTCAACTTTGGGTGTATCAGAAAAATTTTTATAGAGGGTGCAGTGATGGCTGATATAGAGAACTCTTATACCAGGAGGAGTTTGGTGAGATTCTTTTGAGAGTGCAATATGGTTTGAGACAAGAAGTGCACTACATTACTAATGAAGGGAGTCACTAAAATTTTTGACATTATACAAGAAATGTGAGAATCCATATAAAATTATGTAGCGATTATGATTCACACCTCAAAAATTGAAGTTAAACATATCAAATTTCAGAGGAAGATTTTCATGCATACCGCTCAATTCTTACCTGTTTACATATCTAACACCAAAAAATTAATTTTTACATACATATGCCATCTTATATATGCATGAAAATGTGTTAATTACTTTTTTAAAGTTAAATTAGTGGTATTTTTGATGTTATATGAAATATTGGGGTGGTATAAATGTAAAAGTTAAAATTTTGGCGTTAGATATATAAATACATAAGAATTTGGTGATGTTTATGCAAATGCCCCAATTTATTATGATCTTAATCACACTCACAATCCAATCATCAAATACCTTTGTAAAAAGAATAAGGATAGAAATCCCAAATTGAAAGATCCAAACCTCGGCATAAGGAGATTTATCCCCTAGAAGTTATTGTTAAGATTTACGAAATGAATAATTCGTATCTAATATCACAGATAATTGAGAGAAAAACTCATTTTATTTCACCATAACGTTCAATGATTTTTACACTTCAAAGGTCTTATTTTAGGCTTGTGAAGGGCCAAAAATAAATAGTTTTTTTTGCAATTCTCCAATATTTGGCCTAAAATTAGAAGTTTCAATTCAACACATTTGGATTCCGTCAAAGATAGTAAGTTCTTAATCTCTATTTAGCGAAATTCCATTTTTACAAAAGCAAGCAATTCCTGGTTCCGAATTTCAGAGCCTACAAGAGTGTGAAAATTAGAATTCCTACTTAGGGTTACAAATGAAACAAGTTGTGTTGAGTACTATATTGTTCCAGCTTGTTTATTTATTTTCTTAAAGAGCACAAGGCAAGCCTAAACATGACACGTGTTTCAAAATCTTATTCAAGTTGGTTTATCAAATTTTTATGTAGTTTAAAATGTAATCAAACTTTTAATTATGCCTGAATAACTATTGTAGGATGCTATTGTGATAAAAATTATTTATAATCAAAATCACGAGAAGCTTATTAGATCTTCGTCTAGGCATAGAATATCAAATTCTTGTATGCTTGTTCTGTAGTTTTTTTTCCTTGCCTTTTAGAAGTTATCTGTATTTTGAGCCCAATTCACAGAGCTTGGCCTAGATCTAAAATACTGTAGAATTCGTATATAAAACTAATAGAAAGGACATTTTTATCACTATCTACCATACTATTTAATAGATTAGAAGAGATAAAATACTAAAGTATACAGACTGAGGATTTTCAACAAAATCCCTTTAAAAACTTGTGCAAATCCCTTAGAACTTTGCCACTTGCAGATTAGTCCCTAGGTCTATTGCATTTATTATAATATATGGAGATGGAAACGATAAGGCTGATGTGCTCATATTTTAGTAAATTTTACTACTGCCTACGCTAGAATCCAATAAGCTTGCTTTTTTTAGCACAGAGATTGCTGTTTACAGTTCTAAACTTATAATTACATTGCTTTAGAAATTATTTTACCTGTATTATTTTGTCCAAATCCATCTCTTAGGAGAATGTAAATATGGATATACAAGGAAGATGTTTGGTCATTTATACAAACATTCATGGTAACCTCAAGCCAATCCAACAATTTAAGCCACGATGAAGACATGTACGCCAGCACTTGACATACCTTAAGAATTGCTACTTTGAGGAGAATAGCCCATGGTTATATGTGGATAAATAAAGGAGAAGCATATTTATTCTCTACAATTTGTTAGATATAAGTTTCTACATAAGATTGTTAGGGTTGTTAGCAATGAAAAAATGCTGCCACTTGGCTTAAAATTAGTGGAACTATTATTTGGAACTGTTCATAATAACTTAATCATGGTCCTTTCGATTTGCATAAAAATGGACACTAAATGTCTTGATTTTCTTACAAATCATTTTTATCCTCTCATGTGTGTTTTTCGAGTCTTCTGTATGCAATGCTTATGTTATTTATATCAAAAAATGCTTAGTTAAAACATAGTCTGTAATGACAAAGGACAAAATGGTTACACTTTCTAAATCTGAGAAAATATTTGGCAGACTTGTTGGCATGGGGTCTAAACTTGTTGGATGTGGTTCAGGTTCAGCAGTGCCGAAACATATGATTTCTAATGATGTTCTTGCACAGCTTGTTGAAACCTCAGATGAGTGGATTTCTGTTCGCACAGGGATTCGTAACCGGCGGGTTCTTACTGGTAAATATTCAACTATTTTAATCTCTCATGACCGCATTACAATTTTATGGATTTTAATGTTGAAGCTATGATTTTATGCTAAATAATGTATTCAAACTTTCTTTCATTGATGACTGGACAATTTCTTGAGCCACCTTACTACTGGACTTACATCTTTCTGTGGTTATTGTTGGAGTTTTACAACTTTTGACATTGGTTGGCTTTCAGAACTTGATATTCTTGCATCTTTGACTGAAGTTGTAACTTATTATTCCGGTAGGCACATCCAAAAGTGGGATTTATATTTATGTCACATCTACTTGATGCAAATGAGTGTTTTTTTTTTTTTGGAGATCCAAGGAGACTTTGTGCCTATTAAAACGGTCTTAAGGATAATTAAACATTTTTGAAAAAAATTGTATTTTGCAATTCTTTTTAGTCATCTGTTGGATGACTAAAAGAAGAAAATTAAAGATTTTTTAGAGAGGTTATGTTCTTACAGAAGCCAGAGCCTTGATTCTTTTTGATTTGATGACTTTTTTCCTTTTATTTTATATATGTTCTAAAAAATCTTATTATTTGTTTGCTTATGTAATTGATTTAAGTCAAGTTTGATACAATTTGAATTGTTATCCTACTAGTTTCATAAGCTTCCACTTTATAATTATGAAATCTCTTGCAGAAACTCTTTTTCTTTTTTCTTTTTTTTTTAAACTATGTTTCCTTTTTTTGCTGGAAATTTATTAGTCTTTTGGGGAAACTTCTTATTTAGTATGTCTCTTTGAAGTACTATTTATAGTTTAATGTATTAAACAACCTTACAGGAGATGAAACATTAAATGGATTGGCTCTGGAAGCAGCCAACGGGGCCCTCCAAATGGCTGGTGTTGTGGCTCACGATGTTGATCTCATAATAATGTGCACATCAACTCCAGATGATCTCTTTGGAGGTGGTTGTCAGGTATGCTGAGCAGATATTCCTTTTTAGAGCTATAACATGGAGGATATATTCAACTAAATTAGATGAAACTACTAAAGCAAAAGTTATTGCATGTCCAAATCAGTTTCTTGAATTTTTTTCTGAATTTTGTGACTGATAACTTAATCTTGTTTGAATACTTGAATGGTTATAACACTAAGTTATCCCAATCAAGTCTTCCATTTGTCTAATTTTCCTTTGCTCTTTCACCTTTGTGCCTTCATTATCATTTGCATGCTTGTGCTTTTGGTGTGCTCCGTGTGTAAGTCCCTATTTTGCTAGAGCTGGGACTCATTTTGGTAAGAATTGAAAGTCATGCAAATGTGGCTGCATCTATAAATAATTATGAAATACTTGATAACATATTTTATTGGCTTTGAAATTGGGGCTTGGTGTGAATGGCGTAAGGTGATTGTCTTGAGATATAACATACACATCAAAGCGTTAAAATCACAAGAATTGTATTAAAAAATATCAAATTATACTAAAAAGAAGTAAATTCCAATTCTTGACTTCAGCTGTTCAACAGTGAACACCTAACTTTCAGAAGTAATAACCAAAATTGCTAAAGATGCTTGATGACCAAAATCAAAGAACTTACAATTTCCATAATCCAAGTTTGTTGCAAGGGCCAACTGAGAATTACTACAATGAAGAACAGTAAGAAAAAAAAAAGTGAATACCGCAATCCTTGCTACAGTATCCCATCTAAAACAACTCCACCACAGGTGAAGGTTTATAGGTCATGAAACACTGGCCATCCTTATGCAATCCTTGCCAATCAACAGCATAGACATTGCAAGATATAAGGAGCTGAACTGTGCTATAGTGCAGGCTTTGGGAAGGAAAAATGGGGCTGCCACATGCAGCAGCCACTCCAATTTGAGGCCGTAAAGAAACTGGGAATAAGAAGTGTCAGGTTAGATTAAAACATTGTAACAGCAATCTAACCCATTAAGGTATTCAAATTACAACAACAATAACAACAACAACAACAAGCCTTCATTCCACTAAGTGGGGTCGGCTACATGATTCCTTTTTTTCCATTGCGCCCTATAGAGTGTCATATTTGTATTTAATTTTAATAGATTAAGATCATTTTCTTATACAATATACTCAAGTCTTTATAGGTGAAATCTTTTTAGGTCGACCTCTACCTTTCTTAACATTAATCAAATCTAAAACATCTACTCTCCTAACCGAATCATCAAATGGTCAATATTTAATGTGACCAGACTATCTAAGACGACGCCTTTCTTAATATAAGTCGAATCTAAAACATCTATCTCCTAACCGGATCATCAAATGGTCAATTTTTAATGTGACCAGACTATCTAAGACGACTCTCTCTAATTTTGTCTCCCACTGGAGCTACACCAACCCTATCACGGATATATTTATTTCGCATATTGTTTCTAAGTGTTTTGCCCCTCATCCACCTAAGCACTCTCATTTCAGTAACACTTAACTTTGTTTTATGCTTTTCTTTTAAAGACCAACATTTTGCGCTATAGAGCATTGCAGGTTTCAACATCATCTTATCAAATTTCCCTTTCAGTCTAAGCTGTACTAATCTATCACACAGTGGGCCTGATGCATTACTCTACTTCAACCAACCAACTAGAATTTTACCAATAACATCCCCATCTATATCACCGTCACTTTGAACAATGTCCCGAGATATCTAAAACGTTCACACCTTTTAATGATTTGATCACCCATAGTTATAGCTCTAACACTAGAGCTACAACTACTAAAATTGCTTTCCATGTACTCAATTTTAGATCTACTCAAACGAAAGCTTCTAGACTCCAAAGTAGAGCTCTATAATTCAAGTTTTTCTTGAACTATTTCTTTGGTCTTATCCACAAGAAGGATATCAACAACAAATATACTCCTCATAGCCGCCATCTACATAGACATCTTACATTAAAACATAGGACATATAACAATTGAAATATATGTCAAAACTTAGAATATTGATTTGCTAGTCATAAGACTGACATTTTACGCTTTCGATAGGTATATACTTTCAAATTTCCACCATTTATGTGCTACTGTATTTAACTTACACGGAAGCACATACTTAAGCATGCATGCTTACACATATTCTGATGGACTCAAAATAGCCCATTTTCATGTCTAATACGTGTTAAGATACTGGGATTTGTGCTGTATAATTTTGAACTTTGGAAACATAATTCACCAATCATAAAAAATATTTTTAATATATACTTCCAATTTGAAGGTCTGAACTGTTGTGTTAGATATGGTAAATATTTCTCCTGAAGTAATTTGTGATTGATCTGTCCTGCTTCAGATTCAGAGCGATTTAGGCTGCAGAAATGCTTGGGCTTTCGATATTACAGCTGCTTGCAGTGGTTTTATTGTCGGATTAGTCACTGCCACTCGATTTATTAAAGGTACTAATTATATATTTTGCAAAAAATAAGATTTTTTTTTCTTTTGCTGTTTGAGATGAACGGTTGCTCCAACTATAGGTGGGGGTTACCAGAATATTCTTGTAATTGGAGCAGATGCTCTTTCACGTTATGTGGACTGGACAGATAGAGGTACATGCATTCTTTTTGGTGATGCTGCTGGTGCAGTGCTTGTGCAGGTATTTGTCTTTTTCTCTGCAAGCAAATTAAAATTCGTGCTGCTTCAAAATTTTGGTTTATCGTTTGTGCAAATTAAAATTCGTGCTGCTTCAAAATTTTGGTTTATCATTTGCCTCTCCAATTTCTTTTTCTATGATTGTAATTTGCTTGAATTAATCATTTACTACTATATCTTAGTTAGATTAAGTATGTTTTATGAATTTGATTGTTGGACGATAAAAAAAAGAGTCACTGATAATTAAGAGGAAATGAGAATGCAATAAATTTGTGGCAAATTGGGGAAGGTTGAATTGAGAACTGATTATATTAAAGAATTGGTCGGAGTAGTAATCATATGAATTGAAGATAACATAGTGAAAAACATATTTGATCGGTTTGGTCTAGCACAATAAGAGCTAGGAAATGCTCATATTAGAGAGGTAAATTAAATTTTAGACAAAAGATTGGGAAGAAAAAATAATAGATATGAATTGTATGGGCAAAAGAAGTTCAAAAATATTTGTGTAAAATAGTTTTGACATCGATTGCAACACTCCAAAGGAATAAATAGAAAATGAGTATTTATAATATCTACCCCAAGATAATATCTTGGAGAAGGCCAATGATGTTTAGTTCCACTTTTATATTTGTATTGGTGAAGTTGGAGCGTTTTCATGTTAACTTTCAGAGTTGACCACTCAACTTTATCTGGCAAGTATCTTCTGACTATAAATATTTTTTACAGCTAATATACATACATACATACATACATACATATATACATACATACATACATATATATATACATACATACATACATACATACATATATATATCTATACATACATACATATATATATGTATATACATACATATATATGTATATACATACATATATATATATATCTGTGTGTGCGTGCGTGCATGGGTGTGTGCACGCATGTCGCGTACCCCAACCTGTTGGTTGGCATCCACGGTATAAAACCCCTCAAATCGGGGGTTTGAATCCCTTCTTGCACAGTTGCCCTTAGAGAGGTCGTACCCCAGCCTGTTGGTTGACATCCACGTTATAAGACCCCTCAGATCGGGGGTTCGAATCCCTTCTGACACTTTTGCCCTTAAGGAGGTGGCACTCGAATTGTTAGGCACATTAAGGGTGGTTGGAGACTTGTATAATAGCCTTTGGCCATTCCTTATATATATATATATATATATATATTATTGCGGAACATTCTTACTGCTCACCTGCTTCCATATCATCCCCATCAATTAGCCAACGATGAATGAACAAAAGTACAATTAATCGAGTTTGCTATTGAAATTAAACATGGAGTGCTTCTATGATGTTTTAATATAATTCACTAGTTGGAGTCACCTATAGTTGGAATCTCCTATCAGCATAAATCATATAAAACCTTTTAGAATAAACCTTCATAATAAGCTGTTTCTTTTCCCTCTGTTATGACTTACTCACAATCCTATTCTCGGTTATTGAATTATACTGATAATGGTGATGATCCAAGCTGATTTAGTGGATGCTTGGAAATAACCTGAGTAGAAATAAATGCCCTTTTCCTATCATGATGTTGATAAATATATTTTTCTTGCAACGCTGTCTGATCATTATTATTTTTATTAAAACTCTCAGCAATTATTAAAATAATGAAGCCTTCTTGACGAGTAGTTCATGCTTGTATCCAAATGGAGCTTCATATCTCCTAATACGTAGATTGCTTCTGCTTCCTTACACTCATCTTTGCAGGCCTGCAGCGCTGATGAAGATGGAATACTTGGGTTTGACTTGCATAGTGATGGCCATGGACAAAGGCAATTATTTTCTTTTTCCAAGCTTCCTGAATACAGTTACAGACTTCTCACCTGATGCCCTGTATAACTTCGATTTTCAGATATTTAAATGCTACAACTAAGGACAGTGAAACAGAGAACAACTTAAGCACAAATGGTGCAGCAATATTTCCCCCAAGGAAAGCAACGTATTCATGCATACAAATGAATGGCAAGGAGGTTTTCCGCTTTGCTGTTCGTTGTGTGCCTCAGTCCATTGAGACTGCGCTTGAGGAAGCTGGTTTCACATTTTCTAGTATTGATTGGCTTCTACTTCATCAGGTTTGCTTTCATCCTGATCATTTGTATCTTTTTGCTGAGATAATTTTGAGTAAACTTCTGGTAGGCTCTTTATCGATGTGGAAGCTAACCAGGAGTAGATGATTCACAATTCACTGCTGGCAGACTCCAATAGTGTCACATCTTATTATTAATCATCATTCTAAGAAACCTCTCTACCCTCGATTAACTCAATGTCTGCTTTTGCTTTATTCTTACACATTGGATTCATCTATTGAACAATTAGAGGCAAGCATACATTGCATGAGCTTGTGTTCAACTTTTTTCACTGAGGCACACTCTAAAGTCAACAGCAACACCAACAACAAGCCTTTATCCAACTAAATGAGGGACAATCTAAAGTGATCTGACAGATTTAGCTCACAATCTTTTACAATCAAATAAACTCTATGCCATCGACTCTTTGAAACTTAGCAATTTAATGCTATTTAGGTATAAGTTAAAAATAAGAGTGTAAAATGAAGCAAATCAATGAGCCAGGTTTGATAATAAATATAAATTTTTTGTTTGTGTTTGACTTATTAATTATTGAGCCTAACATGAATTGAAGAAAACTGGTTTAGTATTCCACTTCATCATTTTGGTCGAATTTATGATATCCTAGGGAACCTTTAATAGGAAATTTATGAAATTAGAGATTAATAGTCAGCTAAAAATTACTTATAATAGGACAACCCACCCATGGATTGGTGAGCTGACAATAATGATATTATGGATCAATAAGGTGGTAATGTAGGGAATAAGGAAGAGACAGTTAAAGGTGGAGCTAGTAGTAACCATAATAGGACAACCCACCCCTTTTTGACTTTGCTTGTATCTCATGTTGAGCATTATTTTTGCAAACCTTTCAAAAACATCATGTGTGATGCGCTTCTCATAGATTGCCTTTTTTAGCTTACATATTTTTCTTCTGCATTTGACTCAAACCTTAGGAATGCCTCTAGATGCAATTTGTCCTCCAGATCACCATGTTAATGTGTTCTTTGCATTGAATTGTTGTATTTCCTAGTCGTTGTCACTGCAATGATTTAATAAGTTAAATATTATTCATTTTAGTAATTGGAGCAAATATTTCAAGATAATTAATTCTATATATTTGAGTGCACGTTTGGTTACTAGTTTAGATTTATACATTTCTAGTGAATCATTATATTATTGCCATACAAACATATTTTCATCACTAATTTTATCAAATTTTCATATTTTATTTATTTTAAAGTACTTTCATTCCTTTATAACGTTACTTCAAAATTTCTTATTCAAATCCTCAAAGAGTGTCTTATTGATAGAAATAGTATTGCATGTTATAGGGAAGTCCACCAATTTCAAACCATAAATTAGGGAAAAATAAATATTTTCTTCTATAGTCCAAGCAATTCAGTAAGAATACAAAGATCAACTCCTACAATTCGAGAGTTAGGCTCTCTCCCGATTTCTATAATTCGAGAGGTAGAAAATCTCTTCCAAACCTGAAATCTAAAATACAAGACTCAATCCCATGCATAACCCTAGTCCTAAATATATCAGCCATATTTATACTAAACAATAATAAATGACAAATGAGTAAATTTTGGGGGCGCCCTCGTGTAAAAAAACCCCCCCCCCCCCCCCCCCAAAAAAAAAAAAAAAAAAAAACATCTTGTCCTCAAGGAGGGAAAAGGTGAGGGTGTTCCTCCACCACTATCATCTCTGTTTCTTCATCCTCTGCCTCCTCATCGTGAGAACCTTTAATGTTCGATCCTTGCAACGATGTCCTGGGGTAATCTACTCATCACACTAAAAATATAACCCTTAGCTTGCTTCTCCCGAATCTCTGTCTATATAAAACGCTTGAGTGTCACTCCCGATCGTGATTCGTGATTCTTGTCCTGTGAAGCCTCACTTTGAACTTCAACTATTTGAGCTTTTGGTATTGTCTTAGTTGTAACATTGCGGTGTGACGCTTCACTTGTGCTGCTCTTATTAGCTCATTCCATTGCTTTTTTTATCTTCTACCTGTTGTGTTAACTCCATAGTTTTCCTCAATCATCGCTGTCTGAACAGACGAATTGATGCTCAAATTTCTGGCTTTAACCCTTTCATGAAGTTGCCTTTTAACAATTCATCTGACATCTATCTCAAACGACTAAATAGCATTTCAAATTTCTCCCTAAACTCCATGACGCTCTTTCTGAACCAATGGAAAAAAACTGCTTGTATAATTCCCCGTCTCGAGTGGGTTTGAAATGCTCCAACAATCGATCCTTGAACTCTTCCTAGGCTCTAGTTGGCTAATGTTGTTCACTCTAATGATACAGAGCTCTAGCATTCCCTTCCAAACATAAGGTGGCCACCATCAATTTCTCTTTCTCTGCCAACCCATTAGCAACAAAGTACCTCTCCACATGATAGACCCAGCCGCCGAGATCATCTCCTTCAAAGATCGTTTTTTTGCCGTTTCCTTATGCGTGAGTCTCTTCCCTAATTCTCTTGCTTGAAGTTCATTTTCCCCATGACGTGGGGGTGGTTTCCCTTTCTCGACCTATATTGATTTATTTCCCTTCTTTCATAAGTCTAGCACGCCCTATAATAAGCTTGGTCATCCCCATAAGTTCCATACTCGCCTTTTGTCTGGAACGTTGCTATAATAAAAGACACTGGTGTTGTTAGATGTAGCCCTAAGCCAAGGTCCCATCTATCATGGTTTTCTATTATGGGTTCAAATCGCTTCAAATTGATTATCGCCCACCATTTCATTATGCCCGCTATAATAAAAGACACTGGTGTTGTTAGATGTAGCCCGAAGCCAAGGTCCCATCTATCATGGTTTCCTATTATGGGTTGAAATCCTTCAAATTGATCATCTACCGCCTCGAATCGCCCACCATTTCATTATGCCCGTTGTCTCTCTTTCTAGTCTTCTGGTTGTCGTCTCTCCTTCCAATTGTTGACAGTCGAGTCCATTTTTCATTTCTTCACCCAATTTCGTAGCTCCGCCACCTGAGGCAGCGACGTTGCCTTGATGTCGCACGAATTATTCTGATTGCTGCTGCTCTTCTCTATTCCAGACGCCATCGCTCGGTCCCGTTGCATGCAGTGGTGGGTTTGTATGAGATTTTGCAATTTTCTTTATCATTTCTTTTATAGTTGTGAAAATTTCCTCCAATCTCCCCTTCATGGCTGAGAAACACTCCTTTATTCTCGATCTGATTTGAATGACCTCTTCCATAAGTTATTCCTCCAACACATCCACCTTTTTGGCTGCCATTAGTCCATGCCGATTTTAGAACGCCCATACTCTGAAATCACGAGGCTCGAAATTTTTGAACTCATGTTTGGCGTACGCGGAAAGCAATCCGAATTCCTGTACGTCATTGATCTCGATCACGTGTTTCCATCATAAGTGATATAGAACTCCTTTACGTCGTAGTCCCGATTGCCAATTTTGATCAAGAGAGATGCGAAACTCTTGTACATTCTCAATCCTTCGACTTTCTTGATGCCTGTACTCTTCGTGGCATCTCTTTGCTAACTCTAATCGCACAGCCGCAAGGACAGTGTGGAAACAAGAGCAGGATGGGAGTTACAGAGCCTTTGTGGGTTGTGATCCCATCAGTGCCTTCCCAACTAGCTCTGATCGCGGCTGTACACGAAGATAGCGTGGGAGGAGGCTAAAGATGGAGTTTCGGATCTAAGTAAGCTGCGATCCTTCACGTCGGAGCTTTTCCAACTAGCTCTGATCGCGATTGTATGCGAAGACAGTGCGGGACGAGGCAAAAGACGGAGTTTTGGGTTCTGTTAAGCCGTGATCCTTCGTCGCCAATGAGCTTAACTCAAAACTATCGTGGCTGCGATCCCGTCGTTGCTTTCTTTGGTATGCCGTGATCACAAAATGTTGGTATGTCGTGATCACAAAATGTTGTGCAACTAGCTCTTACCGTGACTATATCGGGGCACACCGTGATTTTTTGCTTCCCAGCAGAAGAGTCGTGATCCTATCCTTGGGCTCTTAGATCGCCGAATCACAAAGGAGACACCCTTAGTAGGATAAAGGCTTGTGTTATGAGTTTTTTTAATGCTTGAGAATCCATATTTCACGATCACAACTCTATCATATATAAATAATAGTATGTACAATGACAACAAGAAGCCTTTATCCCCCTAAGTGGGGTCGATTACAAGAATCTTTTCCTCTACTGTGTCCTATTGAGTGTCATATTTACATTTAATTTTAATAGGTTAAGATCAATTTTTTATGCAATTAACCCAAGTCTTTTTAGGTCTACCTCTACCTTTCTAAACATAAAGTCGAATCTAAAACATCTACTCTCATAACGGGATCATCATATGGTCGACGTTTAATGTGACTAAACCATCTAAGATGACTCTTTCTTATGTTATCAGCCACTGGAGCTACACCGATTATTTCATGGATAGATTCGTTTCACATTTTGGTGTCAAGCCACTCATCCACCTAGGCATTCTCATCTCAGCAACACTTAACTTTGATTTATTCTTCTCTTTTAAGTCTAAGCGGTATTTTTCTATCACACAATAGACACGATGCATTCAACCACTTCAACCAACCAACTTGAATTCTACTAATTACATCCCCATCTATATTACCAACACTTTGAACAGTAGACCTAAGATTTCTAAAATGTCTGTATCTTTTAAGGATTTGATCACCCATAGTTACAACTCTGTCATTAGAGCTACTACTATTAAAATTGCATTCCTTGCATTATGTTGTAGATCTCCTCAAACAAAGGCCTTTAGACTTCAATGTAGATGTTCATAATTCAAGTTTTTTATACTCTTTCTCCATTTTTATCTATGAGAAGGTTATCATCAGCGAAAAACAGACACTAAGGTACATCCTCCTTTAAATGTCCAGTAAAGTATCCATAACTAAACAAAAAGATACGGGCTTAAAGCCGAACCTTGATGTAATCTAATTGAAATAGGAAAATACTTGGTCAATCCCCCTTTTGTTTGAACACAAATAACAGCTCTAGATATATATCTTTAATGATTTGAATATAAGTCATATGAACACCTTTCTTTCTAGAACTCTCCAAAGAACTTCTCTTGGAACCTTATCGTAAGATTTTGCTAAATCAATAAAAATCATATGTAAATCCTTTTTACTCTCTTTGTATATCTCCATCAAACCTCTCAATAAATGTATAGCTTCCATAGTTGACTTGCCTGACATAAATCCAAACTGATTATGAGAAATTTTTGTATCACATTTTAACCAATATGTAGTTACCATCTCCTATAATTTTAAGGTGTGACACATAAGTTTAATTCCTCGATAATTTGCACACTCTTATGCATCCCCTTTATTCTTGAAAATGGGGACCAAAATACTCTTCCTCTGCTCCTTATCTTTTTAGTTTTTAAAATGACCAAAACTCAAAATGATGCACATGCATATATAAATAAAAATGATCAACCTTAATGCTACCTTGTTTTTGCTATCCATTTTTTAATAAGTCCTAATACTTTCTATGTTAATCAATTCCTCTAAAATCATTGCTTTGATATCACTAATTGTCACAATTCAACCCAAAAAATCCATATATTATAACAAGTGATATCAAGTTGAGTACATAACCATAAATATTCCTAAGATCTATTTGTAGAGAATTGCAAAGACTTTCAATTGAATAACCCTTGAAAAGAAGAAAAAAAAATATAATATAGTTTGCAATGCATTATAAAATGGTGAAGACAATCTATAAATTGGATTTGTAATTAAATTTAAAACAAATCATTTGAACGTGTAAAAAATACATTTCTTTATAATTTCAATAGATTATATCCTTGGCTATTGGTAAAAGGTTTATAAAATTATCCAAAGCTTAAAATTATTTGAAAATATATTTTAATAGATATATCATTAGCATAATATGTTAATTAACTTTATATTTAAATTTATTTAAACTCGAAACAAAAAAACATCGAAAGTATTGTGGTCATTTCTGAATGCAGCTAAATTTGTGGCTATCAAATTGTAGATAAAGAATTAGAGCTTCAATTACATGGTCATTTGCATATAATTGAATATTATCTAATTCCTTCTACTACAACAACAACAAGAACAAACTTTTATCCCACTGAGTGGGGTCGGCTGCATGAATCCTTTTTCTCTATTGTATCCTATTGAGTAATTCTATTTAGTTTTAATAAATTAATATCATTTTTATACAACCTGCCCAAGTCTTTTTAGGTCTACCCCTACCTTTCCTAACATAGTCAAATAAAAAACATCTATGCTCCTAATTGGGTCATCAAATGGCTGACGTTTAATGTGATCAAACCATCTAGAGTGATTCTTTCTAATCTTGTTTGCCACCAGAGCTGCTTCAACTCTTGCACAGATATATTCATTTCACATTTTATCTCTAAGAGTCAAGCCACTCATCTACCGTATAGGCACAGATATATTCATTTCACATTTTATCTCTAAGACTCAAGCCACTCATCTACCGTATAATTTCATCTCACAACAACAACAACAAAAACAAAAACAAGCCTTTATCACACTAAGTGGGGTCGGCTGCATGAATCCTCTTTCTTCATTGCTTCCTATTGAGAGTCATATTTTCATTTAATACTAATAAATTCAGATCATTTTTTATATAATATACTCAAGTATTTCTAGATGTACCTGTACTTTTTTTAACATAAGTCAAATCTAAAACTTATCTCATAACCGGATCATTAGATGGTCGACATTTAATGTGACCAAATCATCTATGACGACTCTCTCTAATTTTGTCTGTCACTGGAACTACACCAACCGCATCACAAATATATTTATTTCGCATTTTGTCTCTGAGTGTCTTGCCGCTCATCCACCTAAACACTCTCATTTCAACAACACTTAACTTTGTTTTATGCTTCTCTTTTAAAGACCAACATTTTTCACTATAAATCATTGTAGGTTTCACCACCATCTTTATAAAAAAATTTCCTTTTAGTCTAAGCGAGCCCTGAAATATTCCTCCACTTCAACCAACCAACTTGAATTCTACTAATAACATCCCCATCTATATCACTTTCACTTTAAACAATAGACCCAATATATCTGAAGCGTTCACACCTTTTAATGATTTGATCACCCATAGTTACAACATTGCATCACTCATAGTTACAACTCTGCCACTAGAGCTACTATTATTAAAATTACAATCCATGTATTCGGTTTTAGATCTACTCAAATGAAGGCTTTTAGACTCCAATGAAGACCTTCATAATTCAAGTTTTTTCTGAACCCTTTCTCGACGAAAAACATACACCAAGGTTCATCCTCCTGTAAATGTCCAGTAAGAGCATCCATAACTAAAGCAAAAATATAAGAGCAAGTCTTCTAGTCCACTGTTTAAATTATGTACGTACCATTTTATGAATAAAATGATTGTTGATTCAGCAAAGAGAGGGAAAGATTAGCTCCAATTTCTAGCTTTCAAAAATAAGTATTCTTGGGATAAAAACAAGCTAATGGTATAATAGTAAAAAAATTACTTAGTTAAGTATAAATATAATCCTAGTTTCTATAAGCACTAGCTTTTGGATCTTTATTGGTCTAAGTTTTTTAAACTTGTATGTTATGATCATCATGCTTTTAGTTTATTTAGTGTCGGATTTAATTTGAAGATGTCACTCTTGAATTTAAAAAAAAATTATAATCAAAGCATTGAGTACTATATGTTCATCATCTAATTGTAAGCAAAATTAGAGTACTTACATCCCTTATGTAAGAATCATTCGAAGAGCATACCTTAAGGCACACCTCAAATTGAGGCACACAAAAAATGCCTCAGGCTTAAGCCTTATAATGATCCCTTGGGTATTAATGATGTTCCATTAGATAAATAGTTTATGGAGGATAAAATGGAGTTTCATCATCAAAGTTTTACGAGGAATATCTCACTTTTAAATTTTGTTGAAGGAATAAAAATAATAGAAGACATGAAAGTAATCAAAATTTTATCATAAAATTTTATATAATCGAAATAATAAAAGATCAATATAGTCAATATTTTAAATAATATTGTAGTTGAATTTTATTGATTACTGAAGAGGAAGATTATTAAGATTGAAGATAGAGAAGAAGGTTTGGAGAACAAGTAAGGGCGTTGGAGGCGAGAGAGCTATCAATTGTAATAATAATTTTAATGAACATCCTCCAAGTTATGGTAGAGGAAATGGCTTTACAATTTTAGTCTCAAGTCATTGTTGGTTTATGTTATAATACATTTTAGTTGTTTTTTTTAGACTTTTTATTTTTGTTTGTTTGTTTATTTTAGACATCTTGATTAGTGCTTAGTATTTATAAATTGTTTTGACATTAATTTGACAGTTAAATTACTTTCAAATGCTTTGCTGGAAGAAAATTGGGCTCAAAAGTTTGTGATATAATTTATTATTGTGTCCTGAGGAGGATTACTCTAAAATGTTTTTCTAATATTTTTAATTCATTTAATGGATTAAGTTCAAGGCTTAGGCTCTATGTAACATAATAAAAAAGCTACCTCAGATCCTATTTGTGCAATTCTAAATCTTGTTATGATGGAGTAGAAGACGTAGTAGTAAGACCGCATGTAATAATTGTAAGGTTAGGATGATGGGTAATAACATTGCTTGATTGAGTGCTCTTAGATTTGACAAACTATTTCGAACACCTTAGTTGTCACTCTTCCTGAATAAATGAGGAGAATTCATATATTGGACCACAAATAGTTGTGGTAAGGTTACTAAACTATATAATTCCGGCTCAAATGCTAGCATTTGTTCCAATTGATCATTCTATGATTGTGCGGTGGCTTCACATGCATGTTCACATGTTACCAACTTTGGAGTTATTGTGAGTGCCAAATAGATTGGACTATTTAACAGTAAATGTAAAAATCGGAGTTTAGGTATTAAATATGTGAATGCAAAGGAATTGAATGGTTGCATGTAAATCATCCGAAAAAAAGTCTCAATGTTGTAATGAGAGCAAAAGTCGGATAAGATTTTGTACTCCATTTATTTCAACATTCATCTCAAAATAATTATCCAAAGCAACGTAATGTGTTAACCATAATATTTTTTCTCCTTCAGGCTAACCAGCGGATCATAGATGCCGTGGCTACACGGTTACAGATCCCCCCTGAGAAAATCATATCAAATCTAGCCAACTATGGCAATACAAGTGCTGCCTCTATTCCTCTTGCTTTAGATGAGGCCGTGCGAGCAGGCAAAGTGAAGGCAGGGGACATGATTGCTGCTTCAGGTTTTGGAGCTGGATTGACATGGGGCTCTGCAATTTTGAGGTGGGGATGACTTGGCCGAACCACACGAACATTCAGCCCCTACAGTATGATTCTGCAATCTTTATTTTTTATCTTTATTTTCCTTTTCCTGTCCTTATGTTCTGCTTTGGCTAGCATTGCTTTTCTATGTGGTTTCCTGCTTATGTTGTTCATTGGGCTTATTTAGCCTTTTTATGGTAGCAATTAACATTGTTTTTGCCTATTTTCTGATAACGGATTGTTGGACAATCAGGTGTTTAATTGAAGTAAATGATAATGAAGATTTATTTGATTCAGTTTTTATGGAGACTGCTCTCTGAGCCAGAAGTTCCTATATTGGACAATTTTTTTCTTTTTTTTTGTTATCAAACATTTGTAATGCAAGGTTGTTTTTGTAAAATGGTAGCGTAGCTTTCATGAATGAAAATTGATGGAAATGTTCCATTGCATGCCACAGCCTGGGAATTCTATTTACATTTTGGGCATTTTGAATAAGGGACTATTTGGGGGCAGCTTTCTCACTATTTTGTTTTATAAACCGTTGTCACACAGCTATTGAATTCCATAAATTCGTGCTCTATGTGAAGGTATATTTAATTAGTGAGAAATGTTAACGATGTCACTATATTATGTTATCTTATCATTTAATGTTGAATATGTTGCATTCAATCTATAAAATGTCAAGTGTTTTATGTCATGATATTTAAGGGACTTTTATTTTATACATGTTTCTAAGTATTGAGTATCAATGCAACGGTATTCCTGAGCTTTTTTAAAATGATTTAATTTAATATTGATGCGACTCATATATGTTGGATTAAGTTTAATAACTACTTATCATATTTTGCATTTTTTTCAACATATTAATATATATGGTTTGCCTTGTAAAAATGTGCCATATGATTTGTATGAGTTGTGAAAATATTGGTAAATTGCATGTATTGTGGAATAAAGTTTACACAAAGGATCATGTCTGGCTTTAGATAGGTGAAAATGGCACTTTCCCATACTTGAATTTGAGGCAAATGGACTTTTCTTAAAAAAATGGAATTTGATGTTAACCCAATGATTGAAGGAAGGCACAATGTTGGATTTATATTGACATTTGTTGACAGGCTCAAGAAGACGACCTTGATATTATGCAATTTGAATATTATTGTAGCGTTTGAAAAAAAAAGTATCATATGCACGTGATTATTATAGGATGCTTGACTGGGAATGATATTTATAAAATCATCTATATTATTTGAGAATTGCACAAGTTATTAATGATTGAATATAAATTTTATTATTTTGACATAACATGTAAACTATTCACCGACACATTGCATTTCATGTGATCTGCACCAAAATTTTATTTTTAATGTTATGTCATCTTGCATGATTTAGTTATGATACTTCAAAAATATATATTGTTTTTTTAGCTTTCATGCATTCAATTCAGTTATAAGCTTTTTGGTTCACTGGGCTTATTGCTCCTCATGTTGCATTTATATGCATTCTGATTTCAGGCAAAGTAAAAGCTCTAGTTGAGTAGTCTTTGTGATTAGTAGCTACATTTTTTAAGGGTTATGGACTATTTCTTCTACAATCATGTCAAATTATATTTTATTAATATGAATTATTATCACTATGACACGGGCTTTGGAGGCCGATTGAACCGGCTTATTGGATGATCGGTTGAACCATCCAAGATAGGTCCCGATCTAGTTCCTTGCTGGACTGACCGACCTTCATAAGGGTAAAACTTGCCACCCAATTTAACCTCCCTTTTTCTTTTTTGTTTCCCACTTAGTCCTCCTCTACTTATATGTGTGTTTGCTTAGTTAGGGTTAGGTTTATTGTATGTTTTATTTCAGATTTCTGCTTGGAGTCTTCTTCCCTTGTTAGGGTTGTATCCAAGGACAGGTGGTGGTCCGGTTGTATCCTGCTCTAAGGTGGTGTTTATTCTCTCCAATTCCTTTCCCCCTCTCCTACTTCCCTGTTCTCACCGTCGGCCTGCAATCCTTTCCAGTCCTCCAGATGTTGTGTCTGACATCCCTTCTTCCTTCTCTATCCTCATCGCTGACCTGCAATCCTTTTCAGTCTTCTAGATGCCGCACCGACCATCCCTTCTTACTTCTCTATCTTCACCATCGACTTGCACTCCTTTCCAACCCTCCAGATCCGGCCGCCGGCCATCTCTTCCTCCTTCCCTGTTCTTACCGCCGGCTTGCACCCATTCCATTTCCTCCAAATTTTAGCTGCCTGTCATCCTTTCCCCTTTCTCTATGTTCCTAGTCATCGACCATCATACACCCCATAATTCCAACCAACTACTTTACTCTCCCACTTCTATCCGCTACCACTTTGCTGACAACACTGCTGTCCCCGAATCTTCTTACCCATCTTGGACGAATATTGGTTTTTGTTGTGTTCTCATTTCTATTTTGAGTTGTGATTGAAACCCAAGTCATTTGCTTAATAAACTTTGCTTACATTATCGTGGGTTTGATTATTTTTTATATCATTTGGTATCAGGGCTAGCCTTATGCTAGTTTTATTATAGGGTTTCTAGCTTCCGTCATTTCTCCCACCATAAATTGTTCTTTCCTATCAAAAACCACCCCTTCCAAACCCAAACCCTAATTATGCCAACATAAAGATAAGTGCTAGACCCTACTCAGAATGAGATACAAAAAAAGATTCGTCGTCTGCAACAGAGATTAGCATAGATGAATGACAAGACCCATGGGGAGATTACCCTCTCGATTGCGATCTGGAGAGTGAAGGGAAGACAGGAACGAGGATATGAATTCGTTCCAAAGAGAAGATATAAGCGACTAGAAATAACGACCACGCCGCTTCAAATTCAATGTCAAAGGAGGCCGAGAGAGGAGCCCACTTATGGAGGCCACAAAGACTAGCATCAAAAAGGATCTACCAAAGTTTGATGGATGTATGGATACAAAGGAGTTTATTGATTGACTGCAATATGTTGAATGAATCTTTGAATATAAATATGTTCCAAAGAATAAGCAGGTAAAATTAGCAGCTATCAAGTTGAAAAAGAGTGACTTTTTGTGATGGGGGAATTTATAGAGAAAAAAAAAGAATGCGGTGATAAGGTTACCAAGTGAGAAAAGATGAATAAAGCAATGCAGAAGAAATATCTTCCATCTCACTATCGCCATGACATGTTTCTAAGGCTCCACCTCTTACAATAGAGACCTTTTAGTGGAGGAATTCACAGCTCTGTTTGACCAATTACAGATGAAATGCAAGTTTATCGAGCTAGAGGAGCACACTATTGCCCGATACTTTTTGGGCCCGAAGTCGGCTATTAACCATGTAGTGGAACTACAGCCATATTGGACGCCGGGGGATGTTCAAACTCTAACCTTAAAGGTGGAAAGATAACAAAAACAAAGTTTACAGTAGGCGTCTTTCAGGTAGCAACCTTTAGTGAGGCAATTACCTTCAACTACCATGCTCGATAAAGGCACCTCGGGAGGAGCTAGCAAGACAGGACATCATGATGAAAAACGAAATTAACATGGGAAGAAACATGAGAAAGACAACCCTTCCAATATAGTCCAAGTCATGAAGTGTTTCAGATGTCACGACTACGCGCACATAGCCTCCAGTTGTCTCATAAGTTGAGTGGTCACATTCACAAATCAAGTGTTGTCGAAGAGGTAGATGAGGTGGCAGAGGATAGCTCCGAGAAGGAGCTTTATCTTTAAGGGGACAAGGGATAGTTGCTAGTCATACATAGAGTTTTACAGATTGAGCTGGACTGGGATCAATCCCGGTCGAGATATAACATCTTCCACACCAAGTTCATGATAAAGGGCAAGGTTGCAACTTAATCATCGAAAGTGGGAGTTCTAAAAATGTTGTGTCCACATTGATGGTAAAAAAATTAGGATTGTCCATGCAGAAAAATCCTCAGTCATATTCTCTTACTTGGTTATAGAAAGGAAATAATATACGTGTAGATTAGCAGTGTTTGGTTGAATTCTCGATTGAGGATCAATTACAAGAGCAAATATGGTGTGATGTGGTTCCGATGGACACATGCCACATTCTCTTAGGGAGGCCTTGGCAATTTGGCTGCAAGATTCAGTACGATGACTTCAAGAATATTTACTCCTTTAAGAAGGATTAGAAACACATCGTATTGTTTAGAGGTGGAGATGATACAAAGGAAGCATTAGTTCCAGACCACAATTCTGCCGTCAGTTCGGGATGCTCCAGTGGCATTGACATTTTTCCTCCTAGAGGGAGCTGAGAAAGAGAGTGAGATACTGGTACTACTACAACCACTACTATAAGACTTCTAGGATATGATGACTGACAACCTTCCGTATCCCGCTTACATATTAAGATCCGCGGAGTACGGGGAGTTACAATGATAAGTACATGTCCTCATCGCAAGGGAGCTAGTCAAAGAGAGTACTAGTTTGTGTTGTTGCCTCCTTATGGTGCCAAAGAAGGATGGTTCATGACAGAGGCACATCGACAGTAGAACCATCAACAAAATCACCATCAAGTACCGGTTTCACATACCTTGCTTGGACGATCTCTTGGATTAGTTACACGAAGCCGCCATATTTACCTAGATCAACTTACGTAGTGGGTACCACTAGATACAGAGAAACTAAGAGACGAGTTAAGGACTGCTTTCAAAACCAGGTATTACGGGCCTGCAACGGGAAATTTGTGGTGGTCTACTTTGATGATATTCTGGTATATATTTGATCTGAGGAGGATCACTTACAACACTTGAGGGAAGTGTTTGAGGTACTGCAAGTAGAGAAATTATATGCCCATCCAAATAAGTGGCACTTCATGACAAACTAGGTATGCGTTTTGGGCTATATTGTGTCTAGTGCACGCATTCAGATGGACCCTACAAAGATCAAAACCATGATAAGTTGGACCGCACTAGGGGCGTTCACTGAGTTAAGGTAGTTTTTGGGGCTAGATTCATTTTACAGGCGATTCATCAGGAGTTTCATCATTATCATCACCTCTCTGACAGAGCTCTTGAAAGGAAATGAGTTCACTTAAACACCTGTTGCTTGGACAAGCTTAAATGCCATGAAAGAGAAGGTGGCTTAGGAGTCAGTTCTAGCACTATCAGATTTCAACTAGTTATTCGAGGTAGAGTGTGATACATCAGGTGTGGAAATATAGGGGCAATGCTGAGCCAGGGAGTCACCCCATCACCCTTTTCAGTGAAAACTTAAATGATTCTAAAAGGAAGTACTCAACATACGACAAAGAGTTTTATTTTATTGTGAGATCTTTGAAGCACTAGATCCATTACCTTCTGACGAGCGAGTTAACACTATTTACAAATCATGAAGCCTTGAAATTCCTCAATAGTCAAAGCAAACTGAAGTGCCGGCTGACCACATTTCTAGACCTCAACCAAAAATGAGGTCAACATGGGCTTAAGCACAAGGCTGGGAGCCATAACCATGGGTGGAATTCTTAGCATCATTCCAATTTGGGCTTAAGCACAAGGCTGGGAGCCATAACCACATCACAGATGCATTGAGCCACCGTATCAAAGAACTCCTCCCATGTGGTCAGTCTAACATCATTTGTTGACCATCAAATCTGATTTTAACATGTGCAGAGAAGCATTCAATCAGGTATCAACTTTATTGAAAGAGATTAACCTTGTAGGGAATTTAGTGTTGGATGCCTGTACAAAATGAAGAAATTGGTTTCAAAGTTAGGGTTACAATGCCATAAGATCAATTACTAAGCCGATGCAGTTGAGACGACTTGCCGATTTTGTGTTGTGGATAAATTCAATCAAAATGGGAGAAATAAATGATAAAAAAATACTCTATACAAACGTCTCTTTTATTTTTCGCTCATACTCTGGCTCCAGAGATTGTTCACTTCCATGCGTACAAACCCACACATGAATTGCCACAGTATTGGATCTGTTGATGCTAACTCGATAAGTCATCTGTCATATGGTGAGGCCTGAAGATATTTCAACTTACCCGGATTTTGCACATGAAGTACGCAATGTTAGACCTTGCTTATGTGTGAATGACTTCACCCCATATAGTCACGCTGCAACCCCGTACTCAGGATTTTGCACATGAAGTACGCAATGTTAGACCTTGGTTATGTGTTGTCCAGTGATTATCACGTCATACAATTTGCCCCTGATATGCATGATAGTGTCATTCTTATTTCTGGTGTTGATCATACCAGGTCCACATAGGTCGAAGGGGAAAATCAACATCTACTAACAACATGTGATTGAAGAGCTTCAATGTTATGGGAGTCAGGTGTGCTTACCTATGACATCACTACGAAGCAACATTTTCAACTGAGAGCGGCTCTTATGTAGACAATTAGTAATTTCCCGGCCTATGAGATGCTAGCTGGTTGGAGCACAGCCGAAAATTTGGCATGTCATTACCGCATGGATATGTCGAAGGCATTTACTCTAAAACATTGTAAAAAAACCAGTTGGTTCGACTGCTGCTGAAGATTTCTAAACCGCGATCACCCATTTAGAAGGAACATAAATGCATTCTTCAAAAACATGGTTGAAAGATCAAATCTGATTTATTGAGACATCTTAATGCGAATGTTCCCCTATTATTATGTAAGCTTCAGCAAATATACCCTCATGGTTTCGTTGACTCTATGGAGCATTTGTCTAGACGTCTATGCTTCGAGGCTATACTTGGGGGTCTAGTGCAGTCAGATGGAGGTATCCCTTCGAGAGGCATGTCTTTCTGATTTAATTTTTTATACTTAGACAGAGATTATTTTTTGACGCTGCAGAGGTCCTTCACCTGGCTCCCAGAGCACCACCAACAAATCTGTCGAATCTTTAATATTAGAGACAAGCATCGACTTGCCAACATGTTCTTGACAGCCCGACGGAGGCACGAGCGGCCTGCCTGGATTGGTGAGGGGCTCTGGGGTCAGTTGACCGCAGCTTGAGCCTCTCCTGATTATGAGAGGAAGAGCCAGACGAACCAGGTGATGGAGGGGGGGTAGAGGGGCTGCACTCCATGTTGGCAGATCGGTCCCCCATACGGAGCACTATAGTAGATTGGTAAGATTTTTTTAGATATCTAAACATTAATTCAAAATTTGGAGTAATTTTTTAGCTCTAACCATTTTTTGTATGCTACATACGCCAATGAGTTGAGCCGTGCTTCCTCCTTTGAAGAGTAGCAGGTCCAAACTCATCGGCACCTGGGGACTGTGCAGTTGGCCTTAGAGCATTCTCGACGAATTGCTATTAGTTAAAAACACTAAATTAAAAGATTATTTTGACTCTATAGTTAGAAGTGTCAATTAGGTCACTTAGGCCCAAATTAACGCCGGTAACAATGTTAGTCAGTCTACCACCACGCATTTGAAGTACGTGCTTTGGACCCAGCTGACATGAGGAAGAAGGGGAGGGTTTATGACCTTGGAGTGAAGAGCACAACCTTCGAGGCCGAGCTCTCCAGTGGTCCCGTTCTTAGTTCCCTGTGCTCCTCACACCCATACCAGGAGACTCTTGCCAGACAGGTGGCTATAATGAACGAGGAGATCCGCCGGTTGCACGAGTAGATGCTACAAGGTTTACATAGAGTCGATGACTCTATAACGCGTATAACAGAAACTTTAGCAGATGGTCGGGCCAAGCAACCAATTTAGGCCTGAAATATGTAAATACATAAGAATTTTTTCTACATATATAAATTTCCCATGAATTTAAGAAAGAAGAAGTTGAAGACTAGATGGATTGATTCTAAAAAAAAAAAATTGCTGGAGTTTATTTCAAATGAAAGCCCCACTATTAGGTGTGAACATATAGACTTACATGAGCATAATCTAGGAAATGACAATAAACATGCATCATGCCAATATCCAAATATCAACAATTCCGTACAAACAACCATCCTAAAATTTTTTTTAAAAAAAAAGAAAAAAAAGCATACCACAAACCAATTCTAAAAGTAGAGACTTGAAAATCTAACTTTTAATTTTAAGGATTTCTTAATTGCTTAAGAAAAGGAGTGGCAAAATTAAAAAAAAATTATAGAGTGGCAAGTATTTACGTTTAAGATTTTACTCAAATTTTAAAAATTATCTTAAATTTTCTTATTTAAAGCGATCAATACCTTTTAAAAAGTCTTGAAATGAATATGTCACCAACGTGTTATAACTTATAAGTGTTCATATCAAATATTTGGTGTTAGAAATGCAAATACATTAACCGTTGTGTGGTATTTCTGTAAATGTCTTAATATTAAATTATTATGAAATATTTTCGCTTATGAGGGGAGAATTTTTTATGTATTATATGATATTAAGTGGTTTAGTAAGAATTTAGAGACCTCCAGGATTCAACACTAGCCATCAGAAATCCTGAAACTTCCCTAGTCTGATACCATAACCTTCTGTCTGTATAGCTTGATGCATAAATTTATTGTAAAAATGAATTCAACCCACTTATATTTCATTGATGTTGTCATTTGAAGAAATATTTTCCTCTAATTATAAAGTTTGGGGAATTAGTCCAAGGTGATGCATTGATAACTTTGCTCTGCTTAATCACTTGGGAGCTCCAAATGGCATTATAACTTCAAAATTTGATCTTTCTTCCAATAACGCATGCGGGACAAGAAATACCGAATAAATTTGTGTGCATGAAAAAATTAAAATTTCTAGCTAGTTTACAAACAAGTATCTGTTTCTTTACAAGTTTCAACATTTGTCTGAGCAAACAAACGGACATGTAAAGTATGGAACAGTAAATTGCAAAAGAATCAATTAATCTTCTTAATGGGACGGGCCTCGAATCCTCCCTCCTTCCTCTTCTCAAGCGAGTAGGGCATGTGAGTTCCAAGGATCTTATCCCAAGTGATGAAGAATGGCTGAGAGAAGTTGTATTTGGTGCCATAGAGCTGATGGTGGATGTCATGATACGCACTGTTGTTGTTGAAGAAAACATGCAACAGATTTCCGGGAAGCCACAGGCCGCAGTGGTCGTCAACAGTCTTGATGGTGGCGAAGGAGAAGAAGAAGATGGCGGTGCGAGGGTTCATACCTGAAACGAGGAAGGAGAGGGCTCCTCCAATGGTGTCAAGGATGAGCCCTTCGAGGGGGTGATTGTAGAGAGCTCCAAAGGCGTAGGGGACGACGAGGGTGTGGTGCTTGGAGTGGATGTGTTTGTACAAGAACTTGTTGACGTGCATGAATCGGTGCATGAAGTATTGCCATGTGTCCATAACCACCATGGCCACGATGAACTGGAGGATGATCACCGGAATAGAAGGCTGAGGCGATACAGCGCCGCTCTCGCCGCCCATGACCTGCATCAATACATAGATAAAACTAAAATTAGACAATGATTAAGGAGATGTAGGCATTAATTTGAACAAATTAATCGCTTAATCAAGAGTTAGAAGTGAAGATGATAGATACCGTGAAGAGGAGGAGGGAGACGGCGATTTGAAAAGCTTGCTGGACGAGGACTCCCTTCACAACGGTTGTCTTAGAAACAACGTTCTTCTTGTCTTCTTCAGCCTTGGTGTGAAGCCTGTACTGGTTCAAGTCACCGAGCATCACATAGATGCCAGAATATATCCAATAAACAGCAACGGGCACAAAGGTCCCGAGCAGCTCATCCGAGATGGGAATACTCATGATTGAACTAAACAGAATTGGCGATCGTTTGATCAAACTCAATGAATTCTTTAAAAATGGCACCTTTTCTTTCCCCCTTTGCTTATTCTTCTTTTTCCCCTGTTTCTTCTTCTTCCTCTTCTTATTAAATTCTTATTCTGCTTATACTGGTGTTGCAGAGAAGCTGTGGGTTGGGATGAGGGAGGTGGTTTTTCTTGCTTATATAAGGGAAGGGTGAAAGAAATGGTAAACGTGAGAGGGCTTGGTGGTCCACAAAGTCAGGCGACGACTGTGAACTTCAAATCGTCTAAAGCACGGAGAAAGATCCGAGAAATTCATTTTTTCATACGCATTTTCTAAGTCATGATTTAACTATTCTTTATATTTACCATAAAATTTGATAGATAAAAATAAATAAATAAATAAATGCCACGTAAGTTAACGTGTATTTAGATCAATTTTTTTTATTTCGTAAAAACAAAAAGAAAAAATAAATTTGACTGAAAAATTGTGATAAAAAATAACATTCAAGTCGTATTCGCATAGCTTTGCTAATTACCCAGTCAAATTAATGAAAAAATATTATCTCAGGAGTACTGATGCATCAGTATTCCAATTAGGAGGTGTCACGTGGTATTATGGTGGGATCATTGCATACGTGGCAACTCCTCATTGGAGTACTGCCTGAGGTAATATTTTTTCCAAATTAATACAGTTCAAAATAGACACCTCTATGACAGGTACATAATATTATTATACTAATCTACTTAAAGAAATCTAGAACAGTAAATGCCATTTGATAATGTTTTTAACTAGAAAATCATTACATTTTAGTTTTTATATGCACTTTTTGTATGGTTTTATGATAATGGACAACTTAATTATGATAGATTTTTTCAATTATATTAAAATAATATTTTTTTTAAGTTAATAAACATCAAGTAAGCTTTAATTAAGTAGTGAATCCTCTATAATTCTTAATGACTAGACCCATTTAGACTTCGCCAAATGGGTCATAATCACATTACAATTTAGTTTTGCATAAATACCACAACAAGCCATCAAATCACTCGTTATTTTTTATTGAATTTCATATTCTATCCAAATTCTTATCAGATATTCAAAATCTCCTTAATAAACTAATTCTAATAATAGAAAAATAAGAATTAAACTCTATTTTGATTATTTTAAAAATAATCGCTTTAGATTGGATCCAAAACAGACGGTTTATGACATCGTTTTTATGAAGTTGGGGATGCCTCAATTAGTTGTGGAGGGTGTGTTGGTATTCTAGCTGACGAGAAGGCCGTCAGTTAGCTATCAATTTTTATCAAAGCAATATTCGTTCAATATATGTTAATAACTCGATCCTAATATAACTAACGGTTTATGACATCGGTTATAGCAATAATTAATGGAATAACTGTCAGAAAATAGACGAAAAAGCAGTTGAATGGTAAATCATCCATTCAACTGCAATAACAATACAACTTAACCAATTCAAGCCTTTTACAGACTAAAACTCCATTTGAATGGTAAATCATCCAATCAAATAACTAAAAGCAAGCATTGGTCTTATTTTTTGTATCTCCTAAAGGTGAATTTTATGTTATTGGTATGGTTTGTTATAAGCACATATAAATAGTGAGATCACACAAGAAGCCTTGATACCGGGGCTGGAAATCACCATAAAAATAAGTATGCATGTCACTACAACATATAACATGCAAGTCATGTGCTCTAATTGATCTTATGTGATGTTCTTACTTTACTAATCATAGTAAAACAAATATAATATAATATCATATTATATTAATTCGAACAATGGGATTAACTGATACATTGGAGTAATCACCTCAAATTGGTCATTAGATTTTTTGTTACCAAGAGTTTGATTTGATTATAAGTATGCAAGATTTGTAAATTAATGACCTATTTTGTTCATATCCTAAAATTTTTAACTATATTATAATCACTTGATTTGAGTTTATTGGGACTGGAAGTTGCTCACTTTTAATGTCGTTGAGTTTATCTTATGATGAATCCGAGTTTGGCGATAAGTAAACATAAATCAGAGCTCATATATTTAAACTTCAATCAAGAAGTTTTTAATTCACATTGTGCCACATAGTTTGCACTTGATTCGGTGAATTTGTTGATAATTTATTCTTAATCTATGCATGGGATTTTGATGGTAAGTCATGACACATCTATAGGAAAACAAAAGGTGAAGCTTCAAAATTTTGTACTATATCTTTGCATGGCTGATTGGTAGCGTGGAATCACAATGCATTTCACCTTCGGTTTTTAATGCAAGACCGGTGGTTACATGTTTCACTAAAAACCAACAACAACATCTATAAGAAAACTGTTAGTTATACTAATTGTCGGCATGCCATCAAAATGACTCAAAATAAAAGCTAAATTTATCTATACACTATCAACCGTCGATTTTCCCACTGATTTTTGCTGTATTTCAAGTGGTGTAATTTTAACTTTAAGAGAAGGGTTCCATTCTTATTTGCTATCATTAGAATTAGCTTATCAAGGAGATTTTATACAATGGAGAATTGATAAGAATTAGACAACCAGATAAAATTCTTCCAAAATTACAAGTCTTTTGATGGCGTGTTGGGGGTATTTATGCAATACTAAATTGCAACATGATTATTACTCATTTGGCGAAGCATTTGGTCAAAATAGATCTAATCAGTACGAGTTATAGACGATTAACTATCGAAATAAACTTTATCTGATGTTTTTTATTTTTTAATTTTTTTAAAAAGATATTATTTTAATATAAATGAAAGCAAAAGTATCATAAATAAGTTGTCCACTATTGTAAAATCATATAAGAAGTGCTCGAATGTGCACACATATTAAAAGTATCTCACAAAGTAATATTCTCTCAGGCTTCCTTTAAGAAAAGACAATGAACCTCCCCCTATATATATATATATAT